CGTTCCCTGCGGCCGATCCAGTCACGTGCGTGTGGATACCAGTAGAGCTCGGGATCGTTTTCTCGGACTGTCTGACATCCTTCATTAAGATTGCTATGTAAGTCCCTCTTAAATTCTTGTAATTTCGTTTATAATAAGAACCTCAGATCCGTTCGTTTACTTTTGGGTAGTAAAAATTTTGTTTATTCCGCTGCGTTTTTCTGCCCGAAACCCAACACTTTGCACCTCTGTGAGGCTAACCGGACAGAACCCCATCCGTTGTCAGTCTGTTCTTCAACAGAAGAGGCTATTCTGTCAAACTTGGTACTTAGCTTGAAAAAGTTAAAAACCAGAACAGTCTATTCACCCCCCCCTCTAGACTGTTCCTTGTGTAACCGGGATCAACACTTACTTCAGTATTCTGCGCAAAAGGTTCCCGAATAGCCCAAGTAAAACAAACTTGAACTTTTCTTAACCCGTTCTATTTAGGCTTTATTTACTGTAAGGCCTTTTCCTGTTGGTCAATGTCACACATTTAAGTCTCAAAAGCCTCTAGGTAGATAATCCATCACGACTAGTTCTTCCCTTAGCTTGTTGAACCTTGTTTCAGTGAGAGGTTTAGTGAGGATGTCTGCCAGCTAGTCTTCTGTTGGAACATCCATCATTTTATCTCTGATGAAATGATATATGATCTCAATATGCTTTGTCCTGGAGTGTAGCACTCGATTTTGAGTGATGGCAATAGCACTTGTGTTTTCACAAAGGAGCTTGATCTTCTTTGCATGAAGTCCATAATCATTGAGTTGTTGCTTCATCCAGAGCAATTGACCACCACATATTCCTACACAGTTGCAGTTAGCTGATATCTTCACCAAGAATTTATCTAGTCCGCATTTTGAATTTTTACGTTCCAATTTGCACGTGATTTCCCCTGCACAAATTGAGGGGTGTAATATAATGTAGGGATTACTTTGTAATATTCCATAACTCTGTTTTATTATAAATATAAAGCTAAGTCACCCAATAGGGTAAACCATTATTCTGTCAATTATATTTTCGAATACCAACAACCGGAAAAGTTACGCTACGATTCGAAGTTTCCTCCTTGCCGTCAAACTCCTCGTCCAAGACCAGTTCTTCCACATCCCCTCCGAGCACCATGTTGTCGCATTTGTTCACCATCTCTTCCATCTTCGCCATGTCGTTCGGTTATTCTTCCAAACTGCCGAGAGCAAAGCCCGATCCAAAGAAACAACAGCAACGCAAACTCCGGTCTGCCTATTCCCGTCGCAACACTCACTCCCACGAACCAAAGCAGACCCGCAGACCCGCAGTAGTGATACTAACACAAAACAAGAACGATGTCGCCGTGACTCACCGTTCCCCGACTCGCGTCCTCCACGATCGACAGCGCGCAAAGACCCACGGATTTACACGACAAGCCTATTTACAATATCAGACCATTGGATTATAGCGCATATATATATATATATATATATATATATATATATATATATATATATATATATATATGAGGAATGCTCAGGTCCCTCCGGAGGGACGAGAGGGACCGTCCGAACTTCACTGTTTGGGGCGGTTCCCGGTGGAATTGTTCGATGAAATTTTTTGAGCATGTTCTCCATCAAGTCTAGTTTGTTCATACCAAATTTCAGCTCAAAATTCGACCGGGAAGGCATTCAAATCATTTTTTGAAGTTGACTGCGCCAAAATATACATATAAAAATGCAGTCAACTTCAAAAAAATGATTTGAATGCCTTCCCGGTCGAATTTTGAGCTGAAATTTGGTATGGACAAACTAGACTTGATGAAGAACATGCGCAAAAAATTTCATCAAAAAATTCCACCGGGAACCGCCCCAAACGGCGGAGTTCGGACGGCGGCTGGACCGGGGAGGGCTGGACCTGATCTTTTTTGTGTGTGTATATATATATATATATATATATATATATATATATATGAGAAGTGATCCTGTCCAGCAATTTTTTGTCCGAACAGTGTCTGAACATGGCAATTTGGGGCACTTCCTGATGGAATTTTTTGATGGAGTTTTTTGAGCATGTTGTTCATCAAGTCTAGTTTATCCATACCAAATTTCAACTCAAAATTCAATTGGGAAGGCAGTCAAATGTTTTTTTGAAGTTGACTGCGCCAAAATACACATATAAAAAACGCAGTCAACTTCAAAAAATGATTTGAATGCCTTACCGATCGAACTTTGAGCTGAAATTTGGTATGGACAAACTAGACTTGATGAACAACATGCTCAAAATATTTCATCAAAAAATTCCACCGGGAACCGCCCCAAACGGCGGAGTTCGGATGGCGGCTGGACCGGGGAGGGCTGGACCTGATCTTTTTTGTATATATATATATATATATATATATATATATATATATATATATATGAGAAGTGATCCTGTCCAGCAATTTTTTGTCCGAACAGTGTCTGAACATGGCAATTTGGGGCACTTCCTGATGGAATTTTTTGATGGAGTTTTTTGAGCATGTTGTTCATCAAGTCTAGTTTATCCATACCAAATTTCAGCTCAAAATTCAATCGGGAAGGCAGTCAAATGTTTTTTTGAAGTTGACTGCGCCAAAATACACATATAAAAAACGCAGTCAACTTCAAAAAATGATTTGAATGCCTTACCGGTCGAACTTTGAGCTGAAATTTGGTATGGACAAACTAGACTTGATGAACAACATGCTCAAAATATTTCATAAAAAAATTCCACCGGGAAGTGCCCCAAATGGCCATGTTCGGACACTGTTCGGACAAAGAAGTGCTGGACCTGAACATTTTCCTATATATATATATATGACTTTAAAAAATTGCCTTGAAATGTGAAATTCCAAAGATGAGAAAATTGCCTCTATGATTTTGAATTCTGGTTTGACTAATCCCTGAATAATTCAATTTTGAAATTAAAATTAAACTGTAAATCTAGAGTTCGAACGTAAAATTAAATAATAAATCTAAATTTCAATACGATATTTGCAATTTGCAAATGTGTAGTTCATATTGAATAAAGCTCATATTATGTATAGTATGCACTTACAGAAAAGTTTTACTCCCTCTGGTTTTTAATAAACTTCACACTTTCTTTTTTGGGACGGTCTAAATTAAACTTCACACTTCTTATTTCCTTTTTTGGCAAAGAAATCTACATCCAAACAGTGTCAAACCGTGTCAAACAGTGTCTCAACAGTGCAAAACAGTGTCTCTACAGTGCTAAACAGTGTCAAACAGTGCCTCAACAGTGTACTCTACAGTAAAGTCAAATTTCTTTCCTTATTTTGTGTGAAGTCAAAGTGTGAAGATTAAATAAAACCGGAGGGAGTATTAATTTTGAGTTATCGGTTAAGTGTGATATTTAGTTTCATAACCATTATCATGCCGTTAATCACATTCTATCAGTTAGTTAACTGTCCTGCTAGATTTTAACAACACAGTATGATTAACCAAAAAAACACCGATTTTATACTCCGTAGTTATTTAGCACGGTTAGTCGGTTACCATTTTCTTGCCCACCCCTAATTGTAGCCCTTAAGGCATTAATGTAGCCCTTAAATTTGCAATAACTAGATTATAGACTATTTACGTGAATGTTTACTGTCTCGTTGATTTCAGTAATTGACCACGCTAGGACCCATATAGTTGGAGATTGATGTACATAACATACCCAAAATATAGTCAAGCATTCACACGTACGAAGTACGTAGTATACTTTTTGTGAGGGTATGTTTGCAAAAAAAAAAGCTAAAAAAATACATTAACTTATGTTTGCAAAAAAAAAAAAAAAAAAAAAAAAAAAAACAAAAAAGAAGAAAAAGGTGCAAATAGGCTCATGTACTAACCAAAAAAGGTCAAATAAGCCCTTATTTAGGAGGTTCTGTCCGGCCGTCGTCATTTGAGGTGGTTCCTGGTGGAATTTTTTAATGAAATTTTTTGATCATCTTATTCATCAAGTCTAGTTTACTCATACCAAATTTCAGTTAAAACTTCAATCGGGAAGGCATTCAAATGAATTCTTGAAAATAACTGCGCAGTTAGAAGAACAGTCATCTACAAGAATTCATTTGAATGCCTTCACGATTGAAGTTTTAGCTGAAATTCGATATGAGTAAACTAGACTTGATGAAAAAAAAAATCAACTTTTGGCTTAAAAAGCCGAAATGAGTGCTATCAAGTTATAATTTGTACTTAAATTAAAACGCTTAAAAGGTAAAAGTTAAAATCTGCTTTAATGTTTTCTATTATACAAAAAGAACATTTTTTTTTTCAAACACTACCAATTTTTACTTTTTCAAAATCAAATTTTATCAAACACTATCAACTTTTACTATTGATCACATTTTTCAAAAATCACTTTAAAAAGTCATATTTTTTTAAACAGAAGCGATTGCAAAGACTCTATAGTGTTAGTATGTTACAATGGGTTTGGACAATTATACCCTCTTTATTTAATTACTTTTGAAAAGTTTCTTATTGTTTCGTTTATGAGCATGTTTGGTAGGCATTAGTCAGTACCTTCTAGCTTCTCTACTATTTAAAAAGTCTTTAAAAGTTTCTAATTGTATGTTTGACATGTCAAGTTTTAAGAACTTTTTGAAAAATAAAAGATCTTTTTTTAGATTCTACAATGAGTAACATCTGAAAAAAGTTTGTAGCTTTCAGTATTAATTAGTCCTAACAACTTGTATATCAAACAAAACTAAATCAAATGGTCAGCTTTTTATTAAACAACTACTACCTTTTGATTTTAAGATCTTTTCAGACACTAAAAGTTACCAGTTACCAAAAAGTTCATTGAAGTATCTTTTTAGTTAGTTATGTCCAATATACCCTATTTCAACTTTGCGTCATACTTATATGGACCGGCCTGAGCTGAGTATTGGTTTCTTTCATGGTAGAGTTAATTAAAGTCATATTTGTTCATTTTAAAAGGTGATGAAAAATGAATTGATCCAAAATTAATTAAACGTAGGTACGTACCCGGTATCCTTGGATGCCATGAAGGCTGGAAGCAGGCACATCAGCTGAGTACCACACGCCCTTCTTTGCCTCAATCATTGGCCACATTATTCCCCATGATATTATCGCTCCTATCAGCAACGACACATTTACCATTGCGGGGCAAAGCATCCCCACCCCAACATATGTTGACGAAAAATCAAAGTAGAACCTGAATTGGAGTATAACATACATATCGCATTTAATGCATTTACACTATCAAGTTTGCAAGCAAATAAAATTACAAGACTAGTAAAAATGTGCATAATAGAAATGACGAGACTAAAATGCAAATAACAGTTTTCACAATTATTGAAACCAAACTATTCAAGTATAGTTGCATATTTTTCTATAACTCCTTCAGAGTGCCGTTCCTGTCAGGCGGGCCTCACAGGACCCGCCGTCCGGCCGAACCCGTTTGAGGGTCTTCCCGGTGAAATTTCTGGATGAAATTGTTTGAGCATGTTCTTCATCAAGAAGAGTTTACTCATACCAAACTTCAGCTAAAAACTCAATCGGAAAGGCAGTCAAATAATAAATTATTTAAGAACACTGCGCAGTTAAAATATACTCCCTCCGTCCCGCTATTAACTTCCTACTTTGACCTACACACATATTTAGGAAATAAATTTGACTTTACTATTTAGACACTGTTTGACACTGTTTAGACACTGTTTGGCACTGTTTAGACACTGTTTGGCACTGTTTTGCACTGTTTGACACTGTTTTGATGTAGAATAACTTTCCATTTAGGGAAATGAGAAGATGATTTTGGGACGGCCCAAAAAGGAAAGCAGGAAGTTAATAGCGGGACGGAGGGAGTATATAAACAGTGCAGTATTTTTCAAAAAATCATTTGACTGCCTTCCCGATTGAATTTTTAGCTGATATTTGGTATGGGTAAACTAGACTTGATTAAGAACATGCTCACAAAATATCATCGAAAAATTCCACCAAAAAGGCCCTCAAACGGGCTCTTAGCCGGAGAGCTGCCCCGATCAAGTCGGCCTGACATGAAGTTTCATCAAGTCCGTCATTGTTTGGAACAAAAATACTATTTGCACATGTCCGAATCCATACACGTCGTTTGTGAGAGTATTTTTTGTCGGTGAATAGTGTATTTAAGGACAAAAAATACTCTGAAAAACGGCGTATATTAAGCGTGTATGGATTTGGGAGTGTATAATTCTTGAACAGAGGAAGTATGATTGTATGAAGTACGGAGTATATACTTCGTATTAACCTTTTAGCATACGCTTGGAAACCAAAAGTAGGGAAACTGGCAAAGCCACAATCATCTCCGCCAGCAAAAAACCACTGGAAACCTGCGAATAGAAAGCTAAACGAAAAGGTCTTGAACAGAGTCCCCACTTGTCTCCTGCATCATTGCAAAAAAAGATACGTAGTTTATTTACGGTTCAAAGTGAAAATTTTCATGGATTATTAGCTCTAGGGATACAGATTACTTTTCATAATGTATATAATAATCCCATTAATTACGGAAAAAGTATTTTCACCCCTCAAATATAGGGGTTATTGCTGTTTATCTTTAGCGTTTTAATTAAGTCTATATATGTCTTTTCATATACGGAGTATCAATAAATCAATCTTGGAACCATGCATAATTTTTTTTCATAAATAGAGATCCAAGTGATGAATTAAAATGTCAATTTTATAATTAGATATCAAAATTGCCAAAACAGCAATTTATATCATTGAACTAAACTCGAAACATTGACGATTTCAAATTTATTTTATTTTTTTTTATTTTCTAAATACAACCATAAATTGTCATGTCACCGTAAATTCACTTTATAAACAATTTCAATTGCGTGTCCTCCACGTTTTGCAATTTATGGTATCAAATTGTCGATATTTGAAAAGATATAAGGTTAAGTTACCAAAAGAATTCTAACTAACTGGGCCAGTTCTTATATATGGGACAAAAAATAATGGATACGTATGAAAGCGTGAATAATTAATTATATTTACTTTGCTAGTTTAGCTCCTTTTGGGGTGTGGAAACTATTGATAAGGTAAGCCGTTGCAGTTCCACTTGGGTATGTGAGTTTGAACTTCAGCACCATCATCTGTACATAAAAATATTCATGCCGGCCCGAAATTAATTAATGAAACGCAATCCAAATATGAAAGAAAAAGATCAACCCCCACATAATAATATATTAGAAAATGTTAAGTTTAGTTAATTATAGGATGATGAAATGTAATGTATAATAATAAATAAAGTCTTTGCTTTTGAAAATATATGCAACATACGTAAGGTACCGTACACTTCTATTTGTCTACTAATAATTACACAATCATTATATATAGTTGATGAACAAAAATTTGTAGCTTTTGAATTTGTGCTCCTACAGTGAGATTTTTCTGCCCTATACTCAAAATGAACTCTTTGATTCAAATGCTTTTAAATTATAATTATAATTAAAATTATAATTATAATTACGACTGTAGAGTATTATTATTTCGTGATCTATTCTGACGTTTTAGAGAGTCTTTTCACAACTAAAGAATGATCTCTAATGCACAGGGCAAAAATTATCATAAGAACTAGTAAATGTGGCAATTAATTATAAAACTAATTTTAGCTGTAAAGATATCTTTAATAAACTAAAAGAACTAATTAAAATGGCATGTAGTAGGATAGTAGATTGAACAAGAATCAACTTTTTACTTAAACAGAACCATTACATCCATGAGGTTTTGAATTAAAATCTTCAATAATGTCTATAATTTAAATCTATCCACTAAAGATTTCGAATTTCCTCGGGAATGTACCATTTTGATTGGAAAATTCCACTCATACGTCTTCGGCTTGTCCCCTTGAATTATACTTTCTGTTGTAAATTTGGTTTTCCCATTAAACCCTAGCATATTTTTAATGAGTACTCCGTGTAACTTTATTAAATTCATTAAGAACACATGTCATCTGATGATCTACTCCCGCCCCTTCCTATATTTCTTCTTCGATATTTGCTAAGTGACATTAAGATTGTCCCATCATTCATACTTTATTCGAATTCTATCAATAACACAATATCACCTGCATAAATTCATTTTTCTTAATAAATGCACCATCTCATATGTCCTTATATTAGTGGAACGGAGCTAGTATTATTAACAACATATCTCGACCTACATATGTTAGTACTCCTATCTAATTAATAAAATTGCCAAATTAAACCCAGAGGCAAGAATATTATAGAAAATACAAAATTACTTTTCACTGCAGCATCAGGCATCACAATGCGCGCAATTGCTTAAAGGTGTGTTTGGAAGTTGGGTTTTGAAGGGGAGGAGAAGATTGATGAAGGTTTATGACCCTTCTTTTCATGTTTGAGAGTTTATAAAATTGGAGGGGTGATTTTGGAGGGCTTTTATGACCGTCCAGAACCCTCTAAATGTTCAATATTTGAGTTTCCCCAATTTGGAGGGTTTTGACCGATAATTGACAAAGTGGTAATTTAAGTTCAATTAAAAATAAATATATGTTCAATTATTTGAATTCATCATATCTCAAAGTGATTTTAATTATAATTCATTCAAAAACTCTCTCATCACCCTCCCCTCCCTTTCCCCTCCAACACATACCTCCAAAGCCTTCCCCTCCCCTTCCCTCCAAATTCTCAAACATACCCTAAGACATACCCTAAGAGATGGTGTGTATTGTGTACTAACTGTTTCAGTTTTTCTTTGGGTAAAATTAGTTAATTGCGGAAGTATGAACGAAATCAAAGAATGGTACGCAAATACTTCCTCCATTCCTTTTTAATTGCAACAGTCAATATTTCACGTTTACCAATGCACAAATTTGACCATCAATATCTTTCATTCCTTATTAGTAAAAAAATTAAAAAAATTCATATTTTGAAAATTTAGAATGAGAAGAATTTAACAATATTTTTTAAAAATTTAATTTATTATAAATCAATTAATAAAATGTAGTCAAAGTAGAACATGTGAATAGTGCAAAAAGTCTAATGTTGCAACTAAAAGAGAACGGAGGTAGTACGTACCTTCCTGAAGAGGACGATTGAGAAGAGGCCAACGAAGCTGACAACAAAAAGGAATGCAATCATCCACCCAATAGAAAGGTTCTTCACATTATTGGGAGTGTTCCCTATTTCTGCTTGATTAGCTATTCTTGGGATCATCGCTAACATGTAGCTTGCTGTTCCACCTGTTATATTCGGGACCCCAAAATCACTAATTCAATATCATGAATAAGGAAATGTTATTTTCAAAAGAATTAAGCAAAAAACTAGATGTACATAAAAAGTAAACAGTTGCTTGTGTAGACGCACAAATCATTTTAAAAAAAGTTAATAATTGTTAGTGTACATAGACAAGTAGAGTGTTCAAAAATTGCTCCATAATTATTGTATCTGTGGAGTATTAGCTATGTAGATGCACTCGTTGATGGATTATACATGTCTTATACGTACGGGCGGAGTAATTAATAAATTTGTTTACGTTAAAGATTTTGAACTCCACAAGAATGTACAACTTTTGGGGTAATTTGATTCTTGCATAGGCTAGGCTTTTCCAAGTTTTATTGTGGCAATTGTACTTTCTATTTGCAATTTTCTTAAAATGACCAAAATTATTAGTTTTAGGATATTATACGTACACAAATAAAATTTCATGGCCAACTAAACAAATCAACCTGTTCCAAACATAGAAAAATAATGATAACTCGTAATATATGGGGTTGAGTCTAGGGGTACGTGCTAATAATCACACAAGTTACTCAAAATCAGGTCAGTTTTTACTCTAATAATATCCAGCTCAAATTGATTCAAACTCGACTTGCATTTGAACTCAGTTCAAATCAAACCAAGTAATGCTCAAGCTATATACTTCGTATACAAACTCGAATCGAAAAGCTCGCAAACTATTCCCTTATGAGTTGGTATTGCTTGTTTAGATTCACACATGACATTACATCATATAGAGTATATTCATAGTATGGATTTATGAATAAAAATAATGCTTATCTTCTAATAAGAATATACTAGGCATTCACATATTCTTTAACGTTTTAGACAATGTTTGCAAAATGTCATGCATACTTTTATGTATTCTCGGCCAACGTTCAAGCAAATTTATCTATGAATAATTGAACTGAATTCATCTTAAGTTTAAATAAGTCATAGGCGATAAAGAGAGATCTACATTTAAGAGATAACTAGGCAGAGAATTTATTTAAAACATTATGGTCATGTTTAAAAAATTATTGATAATTGCATGTATGTGCTTAAAGTATAATAAATCAAACTCTTAGATTAGAACTATATTTTTTAAGAGTAGATAAAACTCCTATACAACTTGAACTCAAATGAAACCAAGCTATATATTTTTCGACTTAAACTAGAACTCAAACTTGGTCGTTCTTCATCAAGCATGATTCGGTCTAAGCTGAACTCGAGCTTGGCTCGCTCGATTCCCAACCCTATTTGAGCCTATATAACTGCAATGGCATCACAATTCAACCTGCATGCAGTGTTATGGTTCTTTTTTGGTATTGTAGTCCTATGTGCGTGAAACAAATCAGTTCTGAGTATATTTAGTTTGCTTGACTACATTATTACGTACTTATCAGCCTTTGGTACAAATTGAGATCCCATGGATGTCATAATTTGACTTGTCAACTTGAATTTGACTACCAAGTTTGTGAGATTATCGCGAGTCATCAAGTGCAATACTGATTTCAATCTTACTGTGATTATAGGCTCTAGGGCTGAGCACGGATCTGGGAATTCCCGTTCCGTACCGAAGAACCGTCCCGAACCGTTCCAGAACCGATAGAACCGGAAAAATGTAAAACTGTACCGTACCGTACCGAGCTTTTTTAATAATATGGCACGGTACCGGTTCTTAGTGAGAACCGTTCCGGAACCGTCCCAGAACCGTATTGTCCCGAACCGTCCTGTACCGTCCCGAATTGTCCCGAAAACTAGTGTTAGATTATAATAATATATTATACATAATATATTACCCGAGTATAAATGTTAGTGACCATATGTCCCAAAAACTAGTTTTATAATAGGGAAAAGGTGCAAATAGGCCCATATACTAACCCAAAAAGGTCAAATAAGCCCTTATTTAGGAGACTCTGTCCGGCCGTCGTCATTTGGGGTGGTTCCCGGTGGAATTTTTTGATGAAATTTTTTGAGCATCTTATTCATCAAGTCTAGTTTATTCATACCAAATTTCAGCTAAAACTTCAATCGGGAAGGCATTCAAATGAATTCTTGAAGATAACTGCGCTTCTAACTGCGCAGTTATTTTCAAGAATTCATTTGAATGCCTTCCCGATCGAAGTTTTAGCTGAAATTTGGTATGAGTAAACTGGACTTGATGAATAAGATGATCAAAATATTTCATCAAAAAATTCCACCGGGAACCACCCCAAATGACGACGGCCAGACAGAACCTCCTAAATAAGGGCTTATTTGACCTTTTTTTGTTAGTACATGGGCTTATTTGCACCTTTTCCCTTTATAATATAATAATACTACGTAGATTATATATAACATATTACCAAGTATAAGTGTCAGGAATCGTATGTCCATATATTACAAATATGCAATCTTGCATATTCTTTGGGCGTAATCCAATTATTAAGACTTGACAGCATTAAAAGTTAGCTTTAAAACAAAAACAATACTAAATGATATAAACAATGCTATGTAAATAGGGTTAATTATATTTCAGGAAGGTTAATTATTTGCGAACCAAATAACACTGAAAAAACCGTACCGAACCGTACCGTGCTGAAAATTGGTACGGAACGGGACAAGTTCCATATATGTGCGGGACGGTACCGATTCTTGATTTTTAAAAAAACCGTACTTTGGGACGGGACAGGTTTTTTGAAATAACCATCCCGTACCGTTCCATGCTCACCTCTAAGGCTCTAATAGGCTCTATAGTCAAGTGCTCATAAGAATGATTAGATCGAGAGTGAGTTTGATAACGTAGGCTGTAAATTAATTACGTACTCCGTGGAAGTTTTTTTGCAAAATGTACATCAAAGCCTCGACTAAAACCAATTCCAGTTCAGATTATTACTCCTTATTACTGCGTATTTTGTCTTCAGATTATAAAATTGAGGTTAGAGTATAACATGCTGTATATACTTGAAGTTCATAAATTTATTGTCTTTACAATTACTCCGTAATCAGTAATTCAGTACTCTCTTAATGCGTAGCGTGTCTTGATTTAATAGATTGAAGTGAAATTATTATTGATTAGAACCCTAAACTATCATATGTACGACACATTCAACAAATTGATATTCTCAGCTACATTGTAAAACGGAGTATAAATGAGTACTTACTGCTGAAGGCGATGCCGGAGGAAGCAACGACGCAGGTCTGGACGACGGTGTTCTCCTGCCGGGTAAATGGCCGGCCGAGGAATCCGATCCGGTGAAGAACCGCCGTCCAGGACTTGATCATGGAGAAGGCCAGCAGCCCAGCCGCCACATTCAGCGACGGAATCACCCCCGTCGTCAGGTTCAGTTTGCAGACGATGAAGTTGAACACCACGCTTAGAACCAGGCTCGTCACCATGGATCTCGCCGTCAGCTGCTCCTTCCACGACGGAACATCCGTCTTCCGGAAAGCATATTCCGCCGCCGCCGCCTCTTCCTCCTCCTCTGCCACTATTTCCCCTGCATTGTTGTCTTCTTCATCGCGCCGTGCTTCTCTGCCCTTCCGTACTTCGACCATGGCTGATTATTGTTACGATCGAGTGTTGAATCTTTTGCGATTGTGTTCGTTATTTATTGCGGGAGGAGAGAGAAGAATTGGCCGGTAAATCAGCAACTGTCAAAAATATTCGAAGGAGTGTATGTGGAGAAATCGGAGGCGTTGTGTTCTGATCGAATACTGCATACTTGGAATTCCACTCTCTTTGGAAAGTCATTATTGGAATATTCAATACCGGATCTTTTATCTATTTACGTTACTTATTTATTGATTTAGTAAAAAACTAAAAACGCTTCCAATTATTCTTTTTGTTTACGAGAATGAGGGTCTTGTTGAAAATTTGTACACATTGTATAATACCTACATAGATTATTAATCGGAAATTGTCCTAAACAGGACTAATCAGTTCCTAAAAAGCACAAATTCATCTACTACTTTTTAAATTCCCTAAATAGGACTAAACATTGATTTTCTACCCTAAATACCCCTAAGAGTATTAATTCATAATGAAATGCTTTAATTCATAATAAAATCATAAAAAAACGTAAAACATATTTAAAAAAGCGTAAAAAAATTATAATTTTTTTTAAAACATTTATAAAATAAAAAATATAATTTTTAATTTTTTTTATTTATTTTTTTAAAATAATAAAAAATAGTAAAAACCCATAAAAAATGAAAAAAATTATGGATATCTTTCTCACCGCCTCCCGCCGCCTCCCAGCACCACCACCTCCGATTGGTGAAATTTCTTCCACTTTTGGTAAAAAACTGTCATCTTTTTCTGAAAATGCCAAAAAGATGGCATAATTACTCGTCAATATGCCAACATTTTCATTGAATATACCATCATTATGGCATTATTTAAAATGTTGGCATATTTTTCTCCGGTGATGGGAGCTGGAAGTGCTGGGGGGTGGCAGGGGTGGTAATGTTTTTTTTTTATTTTATGATTTTTTTATTATTTTTTTTTTATTTTTTTAAAAAATATTTTTATTAATTTTCTATTATTCCTTTACGATTTTTAGTATTTTTTCCGATTTTTATTATTTTTTTATGATTTTATTATTAATTAAAACATTTCACAAGTTACAAGGGTATATTTACCAAATACACATAAATAGTCCTATTAAGGGAATTTAAAAATGTAGTCCTATCTGTGCAATTTTGCCACTTTTTAGTCCTATTTAGGGAATTGACTCATTATTAATCAAGAAGAGTACAGATTCCATATATATGTTCACAAATAATTACGTACAAATGTAGACCAAATGTGTTCAAATTTTGTGTATAGATAGAATTTTTCTCTTTTTAATCAAGTTTGGTCCTACATCAACCTCGGACCATAATTAAACATAACACATCAAATAAGAATTAAACTGACCAAATCAAATCATATCAGATTAAATTTTGAAACATTTAAAAAAATGCACACATAACACTATAACAGACATCTACTAGATTAAACTAGATTAAACCTAACACTGAATTTAAATAGACTATACTAGTCAGACTATATGTGCGTACTATATGTGCGTACTATCGAATGTTAAGTCGGTAACAACTTATGTAAGGATGTTTTCTTTTGGACTGAAATTTGCTGGTCTGGTCTGGTTTGTTTAAGTCTGGTCTGGTCTGGTCTGGTCTGGTATGGTCTGGTAAACGTCTGGTCTCTGTGTATTTTATAACTAAGAAATTCTGGTCTGGTCTGGTCTGTTTAAGTCTAATCTGGTCTAGTATGGGACTGAAAACAGTCCAAAAGAAAACATCCTAATTGTATAAATTTGTCTGCTTTTTTTCCGCTTGTGTTTTCTTTGGACAGAGTCTAGATTAGAGTATCTCCAACGCTCTCTTTTAACAAGTGAAAGTTTGCCAGATATACGAGTTTAAAAAGTGTGAAGCTTTTTTGGCCTCCAATGCATTCTTTCGTTTGCCTGGTTAAGCTGACATGTAACCAACGCTTTTAAATCCACTTTCGTATTTCATAAAGGATGTTGAACATGGTGAGTCATCTAAATTGAACCTACTTTTCTATTTTTCATGGGAAAACTGTCAAATAGGTCCTCGAACTTTCATAAAAATGTCAATTAAGTCATTCTATAGAAGGTTCTGTCGGCCGTCGCGATTTGGGGAGGTTCCCAGTGGAATTATTTGATGAAATGTTTTGAGCATCTTATTCATCAAGTCTAGTTTACTCATACCAAATTTCAGCTAAAAATCCAATCGGGAACACATTCAAATTAATTCTTGAAGATAACTGCGCATTTTTGCGTTCTCGGATTAATTTGAATGCGTTCCCAGTTGAATTTTTAGCTGAAATTTAGTATGAGTAAACTAGACTTGATGCATAAGATGCTCAAAAAAATTCATCAAAAAATTCCACTGGGAACAGCCTCAAATCGCAACGGCCGGACAGAGTCTCCTATAGAAGAACTTAATTGACTTTTTAATGAAAGTTCGAGTACCTATTTGACAGTTTTCCCATTTTGCTTATTTATTTCATACGTAGTGGAGAAAAAATGCTTCCAAAGGTTGCACGTAGTGGATAACTTCATTTTTTAACATTAGGCATTGCGAGTCTTATGCCTTTCTTTTGATTTGTATATTATGTGGATTTTGCTTTCTTCTATTGACATTTGGCAAAATTTTCTCCCTGTTAAAAGAAGAGCATTGAAGATGCTCTTATAAGAAAGACCGTTTCGGGAGATTTTTCTAATCCAAGATTTTAATCCATGACGCCATCACAAATAATCGAACTTTAATTGAATCTATATTATTTTTTATTAACCGAAAGTGTCAAAAAGAAATAATGAAAATTTTATTTCTTAACATCAAAATGTTTGTTTTTCAATTTCATAACGACTATTGAGAAAACATTAAGAAAAATTTTGCTTATGATAAATATAAAAAGCAATGCTTATAATAATTTAGCTAATGAATTACTAATCTAATATGGAAAACATATGTTAATAATTTTATTGACGTCGCTACAATACATAGAAAATCTGTATTGGTGGAGTCAATAAACTAATTTCATATAAATGGAGTTCAAATTTAAGTTTTCAATTTCTGACGGTGCATGCATAAATGAGGGCAGTCTTAGGGTTTATCAATTCATACAATCCGTATGGACTCCGTACTTCTCGATGGGGTTTTGTCCTGAATATTACAAATAAATGGACAATTCACAAAAAAGTGACCTTTTAATAAAATTCCAAAAATCTGACTTGCAAGCTAACACGCTACAAGCTATCACGCTACAGTGACACGTTATAGTGACATGCTATAGTGACAGCCACCACCGCCGCTTCCCACCGGTGAACGTCACCAGTCGGAGACCACCGCTGGCTGCAGACCGCCGGAGACCGCCGCAGTGACGCAGCCGCAGTGACACTGTCGCAGTGAAGCCGCCGGTGCTAGTGACACCTGATTTTTCGGTGATGCCACCCACCAAAGTTACTCCGTCTGCCGCACCTTATCAATGACCTTCCCAAACCCAAGCCCACCCTGCCTCTGCTGCTGCTTCCATTCCCCAGCCACCGCCTCTGCCCTGTCCACCGCCGTCGTTATCCCAAAGCCGCCCATCAACCCCCCCACAACCAGATCCACCCCAACACCGCCCAGATCCACCCCCAACACCGTCCAGATCCACTCCCCAACACCCCCCCAGCAACCACCGCCCTCCTCGTCTCAGCCGCCTAGCCCCTCTGAAACTCGCCTTAGACCCAACAACCACCACCCCGCCCCATGACAGGATGAGTCAAAACAGGTCTCACTCAAATCGACCGCAAATTTGAAGACAATGATCACAGATGAAGAAGAGAAGCAACAAAGATGGAGAAGACGAAGCTTGCGTCGCCGTCGCTGACCTTCGTCGTCGCCGACCGTCGGCGTTTTACTGGTGGTCTCCATCTTCTTCTTCGACGGCGTCTCACTGGTGGCCTGGTCTTCGTCTGCTTCGATGGCGTGAGATGGCGGTCTCATCGTCTCATGCTAGGTGATGAAGGTGAGAAGTAGGGACGGTGAAGACTGAAGAGGAGAGAAGGAAGAGATGCTTGGTGCGTTGGAAGAAGGAAAGGAACATAAGATTGGGTACCAATGAGGTATTTACCTAAATAGGAGTAAATCAGTCTTTAATTGCCAAAATAAGACCAAAGTAAACAAGTATTACAATCACCCCCACTTAGGATCGCAACGTCCTCGTTGCGCCCTTGAACCAATCTCAAATCTCAATCAAATCCCAGAATCTTCCCCCGCTAAGTGCCCGCCCGATATCCAACCGGTCATCACACTGTCGCGGGGTTGCTCTGATACCACCTGTAACACCCCGGCCCCGTGGGACCTGAGGTAGTTACTCCAGACCTCTAGTACTGTCCTCACAAAGCGCCACTAGCCTTTTACGTGCACTTTGTCCTCACTCGTGCGCGCCCTGAGAAACTTCCCAGGGGGTCACCCATCCCAAGACTACTCCCGTGCAAGCACGCTTAACTTTGGAGTTCTTGGCTAATGAGCTCCCTTAAAAGGAGATGCACCTTGTTGGTATGAGTAGTATTATTAATCCGTTTATATTAAATCTCAGGTGTTACAATGGGTTCGAACCGGGGACCTCTAGTGTGTGAGACTAGCGTGATAACCGACTACACCACCCATTGCACCGCTTGCAAAAGAAATGCCTCTCTTCATTGAAAGTTCTCGGGTTCTGCCTCTGTCCCGGCCCCTGGTAGCTTCTCCCTCCATATCTACCGTCATTCACTCTTCCTCCTTGTTGCTGCCCGGGCTGACTTGATCTGAACCTCTTCTCATCTCTCATGTGTTCTTCCTCTGCCATTCTCTTAGTCTTCTTTTGTGTCTCTTTTTTCGATGGCTCTACACTGTAGTGTTTGGCAGCCCTTTCATATGCATCTTCAAGTGTTGTGCACTTCAAAACAGTCACGGCCTTCTGTATTTCGCAGTTCAGCCCCCTGATGAACCGTGATGTCAGAGTGGCCTCATTTGGCACTATGGTTCTTGCAAACCTTGCCAGTGCTAGGTACTTCTTGTGATACTCCTGAACTGACATATCTCCTTGCTTCAGTCGTTGGAACCTCTCATTATGCTCGTCTTGTACGTGTGGAGGATAGAATCGTGCGCGGATCTCTCCCTTGAATCTTTCCCATGAAAACCCGGGTTGCAATTTGAGTGCAAGGCCTGCGGTTTCCC